ATATTAGTGGCTGGTACGACCTCTGTTATGCTACAGTACTGGCTAACGTAAGCATAACTGCTGCATATGGAATACTAGAGAGACTGGTTGTCTGATCAGCTAAAACTCCTTTTTGGTGTTTTTCTGCAAATGAACTGTCAAATATTTAGGTCCAGCATATAAGCCTGTTTTTCAAAGGAGGGGAGTGAGGGCTGAACCTCTAGAAATAAACCAAAAAACACCCACCTCCAACCACAAACATACTGTGTTTGCCTACATTTATTTCTGTATCCTTTAGAAAATCCAGAATATTTACATTAATGTTGATAAGATTTTCTCCATTTGTATTGGTAGAAATCATAGGCTATTTTCCTCTTGATACTTGATACAGTTGATAGGGGTTTTACAAACACTTCCTGAATGCTCAGAAACCAAAATTGTTAGGAACTTAAATATGATAATACAGTTCATGCTTTAAGCCTTCCACAGAGGAGTTATTTCAAAAGACAGTGCTCCTTCAAGGGGTACATTTTTACAGCAATTTGTGTATTAAGATATTTTTTCCCTTCAAAGTGTTCTGGATCTTATCTTCTTACTTATCTACTAGAACTTAATATATGTTGAAAAATGTGTGTATTTTACTCATTTTGTAAGGAAATGCACTTCAATTACAGGAAAAAAATGCATTAGTTACTTCAGTCTGGGGGGCAGAATTTGAGGAAGAAACCACAGATTTGAGACCTGTAGCTAGTTTTCTTGAATTTGTAAGATAAATCTTAATATTGAAAAGTAACATCTTGGTACAAGTGGATTTAGATACGGTGAATTGAATGCAGGAGTTTAAAGGAAGCTTCTGATTACAGGTGTTTTGTTTCAGGGGCAAGACTTGTGAAGGGAAGAATGTTGCTCATTCGACAAGCAGTAACCCAGGAATGCTGTGCTGGCAACGTGGTTGTGCATTCAACAACATAATTGAGCATTCAGAAAGGAAATTCTGTATTTGTAAATGATGAATATGGTTATTTGTACTGAAACAAATTGCAACCGTTTTTACTCTTTCAATTGTTTCTGAGATTATTGCCTTGATGTTATTATTGTTAATATCTTGATTTATTTTTGAGAAATAAATTTTAGTTTTTAAGTATCTTGAGTTGCAGGAATTAATGTTGGCTCTTATTTTTTCCCAAAGACTTTAAACTGTGTACTTGTGTTTCATATCCAACTTAAGAGCACACTGGTATTACCATACAAACAATTTTTGTTTGGGAATATGAATTCTCCGCCCTTCCCCAGTGTTGGAGACAAAATATCTTATTAAAATTGACCTAATTGTAAGATATTTTGGGACCCTGATTTGATAATAGACACTGGCAAAACCAAATCCATTATCTTTAAGATGCAAATGGATGTGGGACAGGGCCATAAAGTTTGAACTATTTTTCTTTTTTCCCCAAGCTAAAATTCATCCAAAAATTACTATTGATTAAATTGGCATCATAACTATGTGTTCTAAAGCATATTTATTTCCAGTTTTCCAAAAGTACTACACAATTTAGCTGGTAGAAACTGGACTAGTGGACTCAGTTTTTAACACTTTCATATTCACATAAGCATCAGAAACTGCAAATACAGTTATGAAGCCTAAATCTGACTCTGCTAAATGCAAACATGATCTATGTGTGTTAAGACGTAATTTGTACTTTAGAAAATCAAGCAAGTAAAGTTATCTGACATAAAGTAGAGGAAGAGAATTGAATATTTTGCAATTTAAAGATAAGGCTTAAATTAAGTGTTTAGTATATTAAAAGTGTATCTATCTCAGGCAACAAATATATCTGTTGTATTTCAGCAGCTATGCAGGTGGAAGTGTGCTAAACTCCTTGGGTATCAAGTAGGTGTTTCACTACCTACCTGTTATGCAAATATGTTCCACAAATACAACTTTAAGTGGTTATACAAAACCAGGCACCTATTTTGCTACCTCTGACAAGGTCAAGTTACACTCATCTAAAGTATTTCTGCAGTTTCAGATTATTTATTTTGCTGCTATGAGAATTACTATGTAGCAAAAAAATACTGTGTTTTAAATCAAGCTATTTGTTTCTTTACATAACAGCAAATGAAATACATTACAATTAGGTTGATCAGTGTAATAACTGAAAAATATTAAACTACTTTAATGTTTTCTTCTCTTTAGGCGCATCCATTTTCCTTCAGGCTAGAAATCTATGCATCAAATTTCAGAGAGTTTTTTAAACCAGAGGAACATGTAAGCCCTTCAAACCAGGATTTCAAGTGGAAAATGTAACCCATCTGTAATTACAGTTGCATCACAACACTACTGGTATTCCACTCCACTAACGGAGTGTTGCATAAAGCATCGCTTGCTCCGCCTACATTGACTAAATATAAATGTGCATGAGCAGCAAAAGCAATTTGCTTGATATCTGAATCAGCTAAACAGCATTTAAACTGAGATTGTGTGTCTGGATGCCAACTTCCGTGGTAAAACTGCAGGTCAAACCTGATAAATAAGTAGAACCATAATCGCATTTTTCTTTGAATAATTACATTTTAACTTTGAATGCCATCTTGCCGCTTTGTTGCTTGCCTAAGAAGTTAATGATTCCACAAAGTGAATTTGTTTTGGAAAGGAGGAACATTTGTATATTTTTTTCTCTAACATCATAATATCAGTTAAATTTTTCTATAGAGTCTTTTCTTGCATTACCAATCAACTTACATGAATGTGAATACTGGAATGCTAAGTTAATTCTTCTGAACTGCATTGCATTAACATGGGGTTACTGAATCCTGGAAAACATTTATCTGCTATAATGGCATTGCAATTAACTGAATGCTGTTCTGAAGGCTAATTGCTTATTAAAGTGATTCTTTTTCTGTCACTTAGGATGGGTTATAAATTTCACCAGAGACTGGTTTTCTTTCTGAATGTAGCATGCCCACAGTTTCTGTATGTTAAATGACAATTGCACAAAATTGCCAGTCCAAATGTCCATTTAATTTAGAGTTTATACACAAATTGGTGGAGTATTTTCTCCAAAGCTAAAACTGAATGAGACATCATGCCAGTTCTGACATTAGAAAGTGTTCAAAGAGGTTACAGATCCAGTAGCAAGGATACAGTGGAGCTGGTCTTCCTGGCTATTCCCCACTGCCAGCATACTTGCTAACTTTTCCTATTCTTGGTTGGGAGCAGTGCAAAAAAGAAATGTGAGGAATCTCTCTAAGCAACTTGTTTCTGTAAAAATCCACATCCAGTTTTTCAATTTACTTTTTCTGTAAATCCTTTTAGGACTCTTATAATAGTAAGGCATCAGGGAAGAAATACACATCATTCTGTTGCAAAAGAATGAGGAGGATGCTGTAAGTGTATTAAGTCTGAACACCTTAGGAAGAGGGATCCCATTTTGGGTGTAGTTTACTTTCGATAGATGGGAGTGGAAAACTCGATGCTACAGACCAGTTGGAATTGTGGCAAAGCTTTTCCTGACCATAGTATGCAAACTGGTTATTCCACAACTGAAACAGAAAATCCATGTGTACTTAACAAATGTCTCATTTTAAAGATTAATCAAATTTTGTCTTAAATATAATCCATGATGATAATGCTGATTATCAGCTCATGCAGGAGCATCTGCTTCTAGTTTTGTCTGGTTGGAGATTATCCCTTAATCATGCAGGGTCCAGGTGTGCATTTTCAGATTTGTTGACTCAGGAAAGCTGGAGATAGCATTAAAGGCCAATTGCATTGTACTGTAGCTACATTTAGGTTGTTGCTCCTCTGAACAAGAGCTGTTGTTTGCATCACCCAGTGAAAAGAATGGCAAGAAGAAATGTCCTCATTACAGGTTGTTCCTCAGGAATTGGACTGGCATTAGCAGTAAAAATGGCAAAAGATGAACAGAAGAGATTTAAAGGTAACTACCTGTTATTTATCTTTATAAAATCATATTCTTCAAGGCAGTACTAATGTGTTTCTCTTTGATTTAACAAGTGATTGTATTCAGTTTGGTGACTTGTTTCTTTTTACTTTCCCTCCTCCTACTGTCAAGAAAATACAATACAGTGAAAATACACTGCTTTGTCTAAGGAGATGGTATTTCTCTATATGTATTGCAGCTGAACAGCTACTTGAACTGAATAGTTCACAAAACAGTGTAAAGAGAAATAGCTGTAAATGTCTGTACCATGCTACCTTGGATATACATTCACAGCTGTAGTTAGCTTTCCTTCTGTGTACTAAAATCTTTGTTGAATGAACGTACATACCCATTTGAGGACCAGAGCAATTCATGTAGGAAAGCAGTTCTTATATTTGCTTTAAGAGAGTGAACAAAGGGGCTGGAATTTGTCTTTCTGCTGTAAAATGGGGTATTTGCTACGGTTGGCAATGGATGGCAAGGCGAATACAGCAATGTGTGGTAATTCAGTTTTTCACACTTATTCTCACAGTATTTTACTGCTAACTGACTGAATGCAGATTCATAGTTTTCTGTGTAATTAGGCCACAATAATGATAAAACTCATTTCTATTTCGAGAAGATGGTTTTTGCCACCTAAGGAAGCATCTGCCTTCCACTTTTTAATAAACATAAAGTTGTTCTAAACACGTTGACAGTGATTTAAAAAAGAAGGATATATGGAATCTAAAATTAGGTTCTAAGTACCTAAAAATGATTCAGCAGCGTGACTTGCTACCCATTATTTAAATTTTGGTGGTAATATTATCTTCATACACTGCATGTGTGAATTAAACAGCAGTTTAATTCTCCTTTTGAATTTCTTCGCAGCAAAAATTTCCCAGACTTTCCAAACTCTGGGATATCAGTAACAATATATGTTGAAATAAATTCTTTCTACTTTTAAGTTTTAATCATCATTTGTATTTAAGATATGGACGTAAAATCAATATTCTTTAATACTTCTCAGTAAGACTGAACAGAAGAGGTTTTATTTCTGGTAACTGTTAATTCTGGTGTGTTGCAGTGTATGCCACAATGCGGAATCTGGCCAAGAAAGAGCCACTAGAGGAAGCTGCAGGTCGAAGGCTGGGTAAAACCCTCGAAATTAAACAACTGGATGTCTGTGATGAGCAGTCTATTAAAGCTTGTGTGAATAGTATCCCTGACAGAAGGATTGATGTCCTCGGCAAGTACTGGGTGTCTATACTATGAACAGATACCTATTTAGCATGATCTTAAATACCCTGGAGAAGTTCCATTAATGTGTTTTTTTTTAATACCAAAATACTTATAATTACATAGTGTATTTTGTTCAAGATTCCTAAGACTTCATGCAGACATGAGTGGATTAAATCTCACTATGCTTCTGTGAAGTAGGGAAGCTTCTTTTCCCTGTTTACAAAGGAGAAACTTGCACACAGGGAAGTGTTTTGGATAGAATTACAGTTTTCAGTAAATGTGAGAACTTTTGCCTAAATTGGCGTCTTCATGTACAAGTTTTCTGCCCTATCGATGAAGCATAGCCCTATTTACAATGAAGGCAAGAGCCCTCTGTACTAAGAAAGCAGCAGCGGTTGGTAACTGGAAAGTAAAAGAACTGCGAAGAAAGTAAGGATACTTTCATTTTGTATTGAGATTTGTAACTGCACTTTACAAATCATTCAACAAGAAGTATTTCCATAATGGTTTGCTAAAAATAAATGTATCTTAGATGGGAATTGCTTACACCATCAACTATTAAATCTTCTCTAATTGAAAATTATGGGCCTGCCTTTATTTTGATTAATTATTAAAGCACGGTTTAACAAGCTGCTTCTGCAAACTGTATTAGACTCTAACTTGGCATACTAGCTGTAGTGCAGAATGCCAATTCTAGCAATCATTCCCCACTTAAAAATATCCAGGAATAAAAATGAATGGAAGTGTGGTGGTTTGGGGATTTTTGCTTCTTTTTTTCTTTTCTTTTTTTCCCCTCTAAGATGTGAATGTTAAGAAAAAGCAGACCATAGCTTTTAAATTCTTACTGTTGAATCATAAACAAATATAGATAATTTTTTGGCTCATTTTTCTGTAGCATTTTTATAATTTAAAGAAACAGGACTAATCAGAAATAAATTTGTTAAAATGTAAAATGTCAGATAATTTAAATTGTATTAAAGGCATAACTAAAAATAAAAAATATGGAAGTCAAGTGCATTTGCAAAACTTTAGTGACAGAATAACATATTTTAATCCTATCTTTATGGATTATTTAAGGATCATTTAATCCTTAATCCTCATTTTACTTCCAAGTGCTTTCCAGTAAAGACTGAATTAATGTTTACTGAGGTTGTTGCTCACTGTTGTCTACCATTTTGTGCAGTTAGCAATGCTGGAATGGGGCTCATTGGACCTATTGAATGTCAGACCATAGATGAGATGAAAACTGTGATGGATACCAACTTCTTTGGACTGGTTCGACTCCTGAAGGAGATTTTGCCTGATATGAAGAGGAGAAAGAGTGGACATATAGTCATAATAAGCAGTGTTATGGGAATACAAGGCAAAGTTGCTTTTTTTGTTCTTGTTTTCTATTTGAACTAAGAATTCAGTGTTCAAAATCTAAGCTTACCTCTTTATTTAAAAAAAAAGCATATCTAAGTATTGTGCTTTGTAATGCTGAAGTTCCGATATAAAAAGCACAGCACTTAGATACACCTGATAGTTTTTATGCATCGAGGCTGTATGTTGCTACACAACTACTCCCAAGACATTTTAACCACAAAGCCCTTAAGAGTCAATTGATATGGGTTTTTTTGGGGGGGGTTTGTTTTTTTGCTTTAACTCCTTTAATTTATTATCAGGAAAACAGAGCTTAGCATTACTTTTCCTATTGGAAAGAATTAGTGGAAAAGATTTTGAGGACAGGCAAACATGCTTACTACACTCTGAACAATAATAATGGAATAGAATCCAATCATATTGTGGGCAACTTTACCTTTTTGTAAAGTCTCTCCTGTCGTAAAACTACAGAGTCTAATTTTAGTGACAGATGAGGATGTTCTTACTCTTGCATTCCATTCAGTCTAGCTGTATTTGTTTCAATTATTACAACAGTGGCATTGATTTTACCTGGATTACTCTGGTCAGCAAAGGTCCAAAGTCAAACTTCAAGAGTTGTTATTGTTTAATACAACACTTACCATCCATTAGATGGATTGATGTAGTAGTTTTTCTAAATCACTCACGTGCAAGCTGGATCTCTTGCATAATCTCATCTCCTGCGTTGCACTCAGGTTATGTGTTTATCTATAGCCTATTAAAGTTTTGCTAATGAATAATGCAGATGGTGTTGTATGTTCAGACACTTTCATGTCTTAGACTACAAAATATTTAATATCATCCCAAGAGATCATCAGCTAGGAGGAGGAAAAGCATTGTTCAAGCATTCTTTCCTAGAATAAACAACTTTGAGAATATAGGCAAAAAATCAGTATTTAGATTCAGTATAAACAACGATTTTTCTAATGTTTTCCCTGCAAGACTAGACATTTCTGGAAAATAGAAGTTTTTTAAATTGTTAGTGTGTTGAATGCAATCATGTTCTCAAGGTGTTTTGTTTGCACCATCAGGTATCTTATTTAATGATGTTTATGCTGCATCTAAGTTTGCTGTGGAAGGATTCTGCGAAAGTTTAGCTATACAAGCGCTCAAGTTCAAACTGCAGTAAGTATTGATCCACTGGGGTGTATGTGTATTTTAGATAGTTGTAAATATATTCAGAGCTAGCAAACAAATTTTTAAAGCTTGCTGCTATCCAGGAGAAACAGATTGAGGAACCCCTGGAAATCGTATATCACAAAAGGCATAGAAATGTCCATGTTCTCCACACTATGTATGCAAATAAAAATGTCTACATGATAAAATAAACATGTCCTCTCGGACTGTTAAACGCTGTTTAGGTTTGGATAAGATACAGTTTATGTAACACTCCTGAAAAGATTCTTGCGTACAGTATCATAGGAATAAAACGGTAATACCAACCTGTAATATTCTCCTTTAGAAAGGATAACAGACTTCTTAAGCAATTCACAGAAAAGGTCAGGAACTCATCATAGAGAGTGGGCAAGTAGAAATCAATCAGAAGGAAACACAGGGCAACATACCTATAATGACAGGAGATGGAAGGAAAGTGAGAAGAATGTGGTGTACTACTTAACGTTTAAGACAGTATCTAAGAGACTGGTCCTCCTGTTCATCATCTACGGGACTTTATGATTTGTCACATGTATATTCACATTCATGTAATTCTGCTCCCATCTGTGAGATGTCCAACAATTGTTAAATATCTGTTGCATCCAAGCATTTAGCCCTTGTGCTCTGGGAGAAAAGACAGCTGCTTCTTGGAAATCCCATGATTTCTGAGACAAAGCGCCATCCAAACTGAGAAGCATACTGCTCTGAGAAGTCTGGAGGGATTTAAAACAAATATATTGTAATGATAAACAGGATATACCAGAATTCATAGTAAGATTTCAAGAGTATAAGGTAACAGCAAAAAGGAGGTTAAAAAAAAATGAAAGTAGAATGGAAAAAGTTCAAGGTCTGGTGTGAAGAATGATGCAAGAGGAAAGGCTTTAATTCCAGCTGCAGCTGGAATTCTGCTGTCAAGGTCAATACCTTCATTTAGTCCTGAAGAAGTGCCTGATCAGAACTCAAGTCTAGGAAGAGGTCCTGTCCCAAAGACTGTTTTGATAAAGAGTGGCTAGAAGTAATTGCTGCGTGAGAGAAGACCCAGGAAAGAACTGACTAGTAACTGTATTTCAGTGATTTGCTGTAATAGGCTACCGAGCCAAATAAGATTTTCCAGATTTGGCAGCAGCAAAATTCTCTATATTGTATTTTATTACAAAATAGCGGAGGGATATTGCATGATGTAACACTGATAGCTTGACAAATCCCCCACCTCTTTGAACTACTTGTAGTATTATTATGGGAAAGCTGTAACAAAGAAATGTAGGATTTTGATCAGAAAGTAAGGAATTTTGTTATCATCCTTTTAATTTTTTTTTCTTAATATTTGATGTGTTCTTGTGGATAAATCACCCTTAGATTCCACATCTGTGAGACAGCAAGTAACAACTGCACTCGCTTCTGCCATGAATTAAGTTACAGCACTGCACTGACATTTAAGCTCTGCAGATTTCTACTGCTACATGTGGATGGGTAGGAGCATGAAGAGCAATGATGTAGCATGGCTTCCCTTTACAGAATGTCCTTTTTAATATTGCTTGCTAACATGTACTCACAGTACAACTCCTCAACGTTCCTTTTCGAGAAGGATAGAGGGGTGTATTTCCCTTGGATGATAGCTGATAACCACTACATCCTTGCTTTTTGAACAGGTTAAGTTTGATTGAGCCAGGCCCCGTAGTTACAGAGTTTGAAAGAAAAGTGTTTGAAGATGGAATGAAAATGGATCTTTCAGCTGCAGATCAAGAAACAGCTGATATGTTTACTAATATTTACCTTAAAAATTACAAACAAATCTTTCAGAGCCTGGGACAAAGTGCTGAAGAGGTTGCAGAGGTAACTCTTCAACAATTCTCCATCTTCCTTTTTTCTTGATTTTTGTTGTTGCTGTTGTTTTCTTTGTAATTTACAAAAGCACTGGTTGACTGGTGGGTTTTTTATTTTTTTGATAGAAACATTAGATTTAATTAAATGTAATTGACACAATTTGAAACGCATTTTTAAAAAGGCAAGAGATTCTGGAGAGTTTTAAACCAACCCCTTTAGAATATTAAAAGAATATTCATTTTGAAGTATTGAAGACCAGTATTAATGGTAGTATAAATACCACTGATGTCAAATGCATTTACACATCATCTGGTGAAATCTTAACATTCTGCAGTGTTACCATACTCCTGCACAGGGTTCCAACCAGTAGTAAAAGCTGCTGTTCTATCTCACTCGTAATCCCTAATGTGAAATTCACTCAGCCATCCCAGACCACCAAAGCACAACAGAAGATGCATGGATGTGGTTTCTGGTGCTTGAGGCTTCCTGCAGGAAGATAAATTTAGGCAAAGCTGTGGAAGAGGACACTGATTTCAGGTGTTTCCTGCTAAGGAATAACTCCAGTGTCAACTGAATGTTCCCAGATCTTGCTGCAAAGTGCGTGGTTCCAATCCTTACCCAGTGAACTGTGAGAAAATGGATCTACCTATTGTGGGCATATAAGCTTAATTTTGGAGGACTATTCAGGACACTAAGGTGTTATCACCATGGTATACATAAACAGAAATAGGACTAAAAATAAGTAAGAAGTATGCATGGCCTTGAAAATCATAGCATAGTTAGGGTTGGAAAGGACGTTGAGATCATCTAGTTCCAATCCTCTGCCATGGTCAGGGACACCTCACCCTAGACCATGTTGCCCAAGGCCCTGTCCAGCCTGGGCTTGAATACTGCCAGGGATGGGGCATATTTAATATAAAGTATTTTAAGAAAGCATCGTAGTGAAATTCTAACAAAACTACATACAGGATTTTACATCATTTTAGCACTTTATTCTTCCATTCTTTCTCTGCTTAACTGAAAGCTAGGCTTTTATTTTATTTTGTTTGGTAAAGATTCTTTAACAACTCTATTTCTCATTCTTGACAGCATACAGTAAAGGTAATTCTTGCAGAAAGTCCACCTTTTCGCCATCAGACCAACACCTTGTACACTCCAATGACAACTCTGAAATACGCAGATCCAAATGGAGACCTACCCATTGATATATTCTACAAAATGGTTTTTCATCATGACAAAATCTTCAGTGCAAGTCTTAACTTTATCAAATTGCTCAGGTGGAGAAGTAGGAAGAGCTTTGACCTGGGAAAAACCTCAGAATGAGATTATATTGTGCAAATTGGAATTGTTGTAGCTACTGACAACACAACTTATTCAAATGCCTTTGCTCTGTAGTTGTGAAAAGGCATTCAAAATGTTTGAGTTTAGCTAAGATGTTTAGCTAAGATATTCAGCTCAATAAATTTATCTTGAACTTTGCAGTTTGTAGAACCTTGAAATTAAAATCCTCTATCTATAGGTTTATTCTGTTTAGTGTTTGCTTTTTAGAGAGATCTGTTTTCATGGGAACATTAATATTGACTGATACTTGCATATTCAGAATTAACCCAATCCCCTTCACTGAATATAATACATACAGAGATGTGCACTTTATGTAATTATTTAGATTCTGAATACCATAAAATATTTTCTTTTTACTTCTTAAAACAGTAGTAGTAATCCCTCATAATAGTATTTTAATTTTCAGAAATCAGGTGTATTTACCAGTAACATAACAGAAAGGACTATCAATCTTAAAATGTCACAACTAAAATATTTATGTGTATACGTATGTTATGTTCTGAATGCTTCCTTTATATGCAATGGTTACTGGCATATTACACATAGTGGATAATGTGTTTTTTAAAAAACATTTAAAAATAAAATATCTTCTTACTGACTAGGTACTGTTTTTTGGAAAAAATAACAAAATAGCACCAGTAAGAAGTACTTTAAATCCATTAAATGCCTACAGTGCCTTGAGCGACCGAAGTTGAGCCACAGGCTCTCCTTTTCCAAGCTATCATAACAGGCATGTATTAAACCAAAAATGCTAGCACGAGGTGGAGGTCTTTTCCCTCTCTTCCTCTCACCTTAGTCCTACAAATCTCCTGAGGCTGAGCTGGAGCCTGGGTTTTGGCACTGTTCCTGCACAGCATTCTTGTTCTCTGACCTCCAGCTTTGCCCTGGCGCTGACCCAGGCGCCCCTTGGGCCTCTGGGCTGCAGTTTCTCAGCAGCTTCCAGCAGCAGTCCTTGTTTCACTGAGAGAGCCCAGCTGGAGCTCACTGGGGATACAGGAACTGGCTTTATCATTCCCCCAGTACTTTCTCACTAAGTCTAAATCAAATTCCATGCTGGGACTTGCAGTGGCCCAGCCCTGCCCTGCCTCTCCCCAGAGGCTGGTTCCGAGGAGCCAAGCAGCAGCCCCTGCATAGGCAGCTCTCCAGGGAATGCTTGGCTTGCTTTGCAGTCATGACCCTTTTGGTGAGGCCCAAGGTGCAGGGGTGCAGAGGCACCTCTCTAGGACCTTGACATGGTTTAAGCCCCGCCACCACCTAAGTACTATCCCTGAGGGATGGGGAGGAGAATCAGGGGGGAAAAAAGCAGGTAAAACACTTGAGTTGATGTAAGAACAGTTTAATAATTGAAATAAAATATCAATAACAAAAAAAAATAAAAGGAAATAGAGAGGAATACAATCAACCAGCCAACAGCAAGCATGTACAATACAATTGCTGTCCAGCCTGGTCCCCCAGCAGTGATCAGTGCCTTCCACCTAACTCCCCCCAGTTTATATCCTGCGTATGCCATGCTGTGGTATGGAATACCCCGTTGGCTGGTTTGGGTCAGCTTGCCGTGGCTGTGCTCTCTCTTGGCTTTTTGTGCTCTTCCTCACCAGCAACGCATGAGAGACTGATGAAAAGCCCTTGACTGAGAGTAATCACTACTGAGCAATAACTAAAAAACTGAAAAATCCTTGACTTAGAATAATCACTGAGCAATTACTGAAAAGTCCTTGACTTGGAGTAATACTGCCCAAGAACTAAAACATCAGTGTGTTATCAGCACTGTTCTCAGACTAAAGCCAAATCACTGCACTGTACCAGTGCCTGGAAAGAAAAATAACTATCCCAGCCAAAACCTGGGCAGATAGAGGCAGGGAGAGGTGCTCAGTGGCCAGTGCCCGCAGCAGCCCCTGTGCACAGCTGGAGGCCTCATCTATGTCCCAGTTGTAACTGAAACCTCCTTCCCCAAAATACCAGGCTGGTGCCTGCACCCCAAGATCAGTGCATGGATGGGGGAGAGGTAGGAATAGCAGCTAGGCTGCAAGTGGGGAGGCAGGAGTTAAACGACAGTAGTGCTGTTGTGGCTGAAGGGAGCATAGCCACTCATCCCCCTGCACCCCAACGTGCAGCCAGAGACCTTGTCACTGTCCTGTTGTGGGTTAGGTTTCAGCGCAGGGTTATGGCTTGGACATGAGCACATCAGTATCACACCTGCATGTCTGTCTGCAGCCTGCAGCTTCGGCTTGGTCTGTTTTTGTTTTCCTTTCCAGTACTGATTCGGAGAAAACTCCAGAAGCAAACTTATCGACAAAGTTTTCAAGTTGACAAGCAGGTATTCTTTATTGCGGCATCAGGAGACACGGGGGATAGCTCCTCCTAACGTGTGTCACTGTACTACCATGCAGGCCATCCTTATAGAGTCACTAGGCATATATACATATTGATGAGGCTACACATGAATTACATCATTTTCCAGAAAGTTTCCCGCATGCACACAAAAACGTGGTGGTGGTCTTTAAGAGTCGTTTACTTCTTCCAACAATCTTCATAACTGCCGGCATTCTTTGAGCACCAACTTAATTAACATTACAGAAATAGCAATGATCCTGTCCTTCTACTTATCAGTTAGTTTAACTATTTCCATCCTGGAGCATCTGCTAGTCCCTGATACTCCCCATCCCCAGGTCCTGTTTTTCTATCTGTTTTTCTTACACTTTTTGTACTAAGGTCCTAAGGACCTACAGCTATGTCAACTGCCTTCAAGCACCTCAGTTATTTTCCATTACAAAGCCATCAAACTTAACGTTACTTAGAACTGACTACATTTTGTGCTTCTGTGCCTCCTTGTCTCAGTACAAAGTAGCAAGGTACTACCAGGAGTGCAGGTTTTCACGGGCCTTCCACAAACGCCCGTGTGCTTTGGTTCATTTTGCTCCACAAAACCCTCACGGTACTGTTTACCGATCAGGTGAAAAGAAGCAAACACCGCTTCATAGGTGAAGCCTTGGTGAACCCACAGCAACGCCTGCCGCTTCTGGGTAAGCCGCAGGCGAGGCGCTTGCCGGGGCTGCGAGGCGGCTGCTGCGGAAGCGAGGGGGAAACCTAGCCGGGGGGGGGGGGGTGACCGAGCCGCTGCCGCCGCTCACCCGCACGTGCTACCTCCAACTCTTCCGGCCCTCCCGGGGCGGGAGCGCTCAGGCGGCGGAAGCGCGTCCCCGCTTCCGGCGGAAGCGACGTCTCTCGGCCGTCCTTACCACCGGGCCGGACGCTGCCGGGGGAGCCGTGCTGCGCTGTACAGGGGTGATTTAGCGGCTCGCCTTTCCCATAGCCGTTCATAAGGCGGCGGCGCCAGCGCCCGAAGGATGTGGTGGAGGCGGCAGTCGCAGGCTCCGCGGCCGAGGGAGCCCTGAACCCGAGCAGCCCCTTCTTAGTCCCGCTTCCCGCCGGCCCCGCTCGCTCTTCCTCCCTTCTTTCCTCATTCCCTCCCTCCCTTCGTCGTCAGCGCCCGCCCCGCCCGCCTCCCACCACCCCACCCCCCCCCCCCGCGCTGGAGGCCCGCGCGGCGTCTGAGGGGGAGCCCGTGAGCGCGGGAGCCAACGGCAGCCAGGATGGCCTCGTCGTCGGGCAACGACGACGACCTCACCATCCCCAGGGCTGCCATCAACAAGATGATCAAAGAAACGCTCCCCAACGTCCGCGTGGCCAACGACGCCCGCGAGCTGGTGGTGAACTGCTGCACTGAATTCATCCACCTCATCTCCTCCGAGGCCAACGAGATCTGTAACAAATCCGAGAAGAAAACCATCTCCCCGGAGCATGTCATCCAGGGTAGGCGCTGTGCCCCCCGCGGGTCTGCGGGCTGCGAGCCGCTCTTGTCCGTCCCCGGGCGGCTGCTTCCGCTGCGTTTTGGTTTTCATCTCTGTACAGCACAAAAGGCGGGGGGGTCTCGTAAGGGTCTGGAGGTATAGCGTGTCGTGTCAGTGGCGTTGCAAGGGGAGGTTGTCTTTGTGTGGTGAGAGCGGCTGCGGAGCGTGCCCAGGACCAGCCCTCGTCCTGTGCTCCGGAGAAGTCTGTGATGCTCTGGGTGAAGTCACCAAACCCATTCGCCCTTTTCGTACCTGTGAAACGAGGTCAGCTTCGGAACGAGTGGTTCCGCACAGTTCTTTCATAGCGTGTTTTAGGATCCTGAATGTGTTAAATGTCTTTCTAATTGGAGGCTGACAAAAGATGCGTGGCTGAGTTTGTGGGGCCCAGCCTTTAATCCAGAGTCGTCCTGTCTGGATCCTATAAAAAGCAGATTTCTCTAGGGCTATCCTTGTAGTACTGAGTATTTGTATCTATTGTAGAAAGCCCTTAAACGTGACTGATGCCATCGCATCTGCTGTTGACTTTTTCCCCTTGCTTCAGTAAAAGGCGAGGTCAGTCTGTGTCTCATTTGCTGTTCTTTAAATTCTGCTAGAAACAGACTTTCGTTGCTCATCCTTAAGTCTGCAGCAGACATGTTTTGTCAGGAATCATTCACATTGTTGCTAAAGCAAAAGGTTGTTGATACCAGTGTCTGCTGCAAACAAATTTGTAGCAGTAATAGTGGAAAGTGCTGTGCTGTCTAGTGGAGATACCAACAGCAGTATTTGCAGTACAGCTGAGCTGTTTTCAGGACTGTGATGGTACCAAGTTAGTTGGAAAAGTGGGTTTTTTTTGTAATTTGTTTTTTTGGGGATTATCTGGTTGAACCAAACAAAACGATTCCTTCAGATTGTATCAGCTTGCTCACCACAAGAATTTTAAGTACTTGACTGGATTATGAACAGCAAAAGAAAATACGTGGTGTGTATGAACTTTGGTATTAAGAAATACATGTAAATCTGGAAGTTCAGCAGCACGACTGCATCACAGAAGCTCAGGAGTAAAAAGAGTAAAACTTGTGCTTGCATGTGTAAGCATACTTCGGGGATGATGCTTCTTAGTAGATGGATAGTTTCTTCAAGTGATCACGAGAACATTTGAGCTCAGTTCTTAACATAGGACAAGACATGATCTATTAAGGTTGTGGAATATCATAGAATGATATAATAGTTAGAGTTGCAATAATGAATGACAATATTTTTTGCCCACTAGTGGTGGTCTTTAGTAAAGATTTCGCCTACTTCTGCCCTGGGATTAGTGTGGATGGTTTTGAAAACAAAACTAAAATGTGTGATTTTGCATAGTCACACTTGGGTGTGCATGTGTCGTCAACAGGTGGTCTCAAATTAAGTATGTTACTGGGCTTTGTGTCTTTGTGTTACAAGTTTTTAGAGTTAGGAAAAAGTTCCATATTAGATCTGTACTTTTTAGTCAAATATTGCCAAGGAAAACTTTTTGTAATGCTCCAGAGATAGGAGTTGGTTTTGGATTTTCTGCTGTTCTTGTTTTTAGGAAGATGTATGGGCTATTGGCTTCTTCCAGATGCTGGCTAGTTGGCAGGGGATCCCTTTGTTGAGGTAGGAGGGTTTAGATGGCTCATTTTGGAAACGGTGAAAATGTGTATACAGGTGTACTATTTCAGCGTTTTTATCCATCTTCATACATTCTAGATATTTGCAGCTTTGACTGCCTCTTAATGTAGCTCT